TGAGACATGATGCACTGTCCCCACCACACATGTGACTGAGAACATGATGCACTGTCCCCACCACACATGTAGCTGTGAGACATGATGCACTGTCCCCACCACACATGTGACTGTGAGACATGATGTACTGTCCCCTCAACACATGTGACTGTGAGACATGATACACTGTCCCCACCACACGTGTGACTGTGAGACATGATACACTCTCCCCACCACACATATGACTGAGAACATGATGCACTGTCCCCACCACACATGTAGCTGTGAGACATGATGTACTATCCCCACAACACATGTGACTGTGAGACATGATGCACTGTCCCTAACACACACGTGACTGTGAGACATGGTCTCATAATCTGTCCCCACTACACATGTTTTTTGATATCTTGTGATATGGCTTTATTTTGTTATTCTAATTAAAAAATAATACTTGTGCATCTAAATTTATGAGCCAGTTAGAATTTCATGATTGATCTTAGTTTTTGATGAGTTGGTAAGGAAACCATTTTTATTTGGGAAAGAGTATTCTTTTTAGTGGATGTAGGAGAATTTCAGTTTACTTAACTAGGGTCTATATTTCTGTATGTTGATTAAAACAATGCCTTTATGATTACGTATTTAGATAATTTTACAAGGCAAAGTATTGCTCAGCGAGAAGAAATCAGCATTCTTGGTGCCACACTCAACGATATGGCTAAAGAAAAAGAATGCCTGCAAGCATGTTTGGATAAAAAATCTGAGAATATTGCATCCCTTGGAGAGAGTTTGGCAATGAAAGTATGTTCTGAGAACTATGATTTTAAATGAAATGTTTGCATTTGAATCTGAATAAAATAATAGTTTCTCAAAATTTTTCTAGAGATCTGAAACTTTTAAAAATCTGATTTTGAAACATTTAAAGATGCTTAAGAATGTTTTAGGAAGTCTTCAAATTAATAGTTTAGTTAGATTTTTGTATTGTCAGTTTGTGATTAACTCTCATTGACAGTAAGTATTTAAACTATTCAAATATGAACTATGGCAACATAATTATAACACTAAATTAAAAAAAATCAGAATTTGTATTTGGAAGTAGTCACTTTGAGAGTCAATATATTTTATTCTACTAAAACTTTCTTTGAAATTGTGTTTAGAACTAGGAGCATATTTTGAAATCATACTCAGCTTTTGAGAGAAAATCATGTGAAACAGATGAATGAAACTGGATGATAACTTGCATCACACATTTTTGGTACTGAAAAAAAAAACAAACCCCCAAAATCAAATGGTGTTTCAAAGAGCAGAGAGATATTCATACTCTTATCTAGCTCTTATTCTGATTCTGAAGATAATTTCCAAACAGTTTTCCACAAATATTTTATACAAAGGCAGCACCATTGGAATAATATATTTTTCTCATCCAAGGAAGCACATTCATTCATTAAACATTGCATTCCATTAGAAACTGAGAGTAAGTGGGCCTTCTTTCTAAAAGCATGTAGTGTAAGAGACAAAATATACTGTTATCTTTATTATATAATATGGTATATAATAATTTGTATACAATGTAGTATTGTAGTTTGTTAAAAATATATCTGATCAAGCCTTGATCTGAGTTAGAAAGAAGAGGGAGAGATAGGAAAATTTCTAAATAATCCATATTCTTGGAATTTATCTACAAGTGTATGAAATGACATTTAAAAATTGTATGGTAATATTTCATTTTAAATATTTCTTGTTTGAAGTTTAATGTTTTCCTCTAAAGAGTTGTTGTTCTTAAGGAAATTTTGCTTTTGAGCTAAAGTGGACCTTTTAATCTTACTTCAGCATCTAATACTGTGAAATTTGCTTCACTCTGTAAGAAAGTAGAATGAGAAACCAGAGCTGAAAACTCCCTGAAGAGGAGCACATGAATAAAAGAAGAAAACACACACACACACACACACTCTCTCTCTCTCTCTCTCTCTCTCTCTCTCTCTCTCTCTCTCACGTTTTTAAAGATATAAGAGCAAAATTGAGGGGAGCTCTGGTGGCCTAGTGGCAAGGAGCTGCAACTACAATCCCAGAGGCGCACAGTTCGAATCCACCAGATGCTCTGCAGGGGAAGGAGGGACAATCTCCTCCTGTACCAGTCAGATCTGATTTGACGGTACACTCACACAAAAATAATAAAAAAATAAAAAAAGAGCAAAATTGGTTGAGAAATACAGGTTTGGGTTTACATTATGTTTCAGTATTATAAAAGGTTGAAACTTCAAATAACAAGATGAATTACAATTTTTTCTTTTTTAAAAATTGTATTTACATACAAAAGTGATATACATTGTGAATTCTAATTTTTATTTAGTGAAAGAATACTTTGCCTAATTTTAAAGAAATATTATTACATATAAGTAATTATATAGAGCTAAATTAGGGAACTCTGGTGGCTTTGTGGTAAGGAGTTGTACTGCTAACCCAAATGCACATGGCTTATATCCAGCAGTTGCTCCGTGGGATGGCCAGTCTCCTCCTCTGTGCTTTAGTGTCTCTAAAAGTCTGCTAGAGGGTCAGCAACTCAACAATACATAACAGTGACAGCAACAACAAATTATTCAAGGCTCAATGAAAGTTTTATAGGGAGAAGGCTTGTTAATGGCATTAATGGCATTAAGATATTCAGACCCATTTAAGTCTTGACTAATTTTGCTCCTTCCTAGTTACTTTAAAAGGAAGAATATGAATATATTGTTTTATCCTTTTACTTTAGATCTAACACCCCATTATTAGCTCACACCTAAATATTATTGACACCTTTTATATAGAAATAATTCTATTGGAGCAGATTTCTGAAGATACTATTTATGATTAATGATTAAGAATGTATATTTGATCACTTATTCTAAAGGTTGAAATATAGTTGTGCATGGTTTATTTCTACAATTTTTATAAAATGAAGTTGTGAGGAGGAGGTGAATCACTTCTATTTTCAGTATTGTCATTGTTGTTGTTGTGCACCATTGAATCAGAACTGTCCCATATCCGACCCTCCAGTGGGTTTTCAAAGGCAGTTAATCAATCACATGGGAGATTGCTATATAGAATATTTTAATGACAAGCCATTTGTTTGCCTCTAAACACAAGATGATGAAACTTTCTTATGTTACTGGTAAATCCATGAAAGATTTTTTTCTCCCCAAAATAGTCGTATACTGATTTGATAAGAATACATCGACATGTAACCGCCATAGCCTTTCCAGAGAATAATATATTTTTCCCCAAAGAATAGGGTATAGATGTTTAAAAACATTCATAAGTGTATAAAAATAGAAAAATAAGAATGAAATTATTTTTTCAAAATTTAGTTTTACAGAAATAGCTTAAGATAATTTTTTATTTAATGCTTATATTACTTTTCAAGGAAAAGACCATTTCAGGCATGAAGAATATCATTGCTGAGATGGAACAGGCATCAAGGTAAATAAAATTCAACAACTATTTGGTCACTGATTAGGGAGGAAAGTACTATGATAAGTGCAAAGATTATAAGAAATAAGAGATTTACTGTTAAATAAATAAGAAAACAATTATAAGTTACACTATTAACTCTCTAATGTTTGAGATGTTGAGAAGCTCAATATCATCATCCAGAATAAGACCTATGTAATGTGCAAGCTCAAATGCTTATATATGCCAGTTCAGGTTCCAGCTGAAGAAAATGAAAACTAATCCATGAGAGCCAAAGTACATTCTTGAGTATACCTCACCTGAATTCAGAAACCATCTCAAGAATAGCTTTGATGAGTTGGACACTCATGATGGAAAATAAGTTGTGGGATGACATCTAGGACATCATACACAAGGGAAGCAGATCATTACAAAAGACAGAACAGACCAAAATGAATGTCAGATAAAACTCTGCAACTTCCTCTTCAGTGTAAAGAAGCTAAAGCAAAAAGCAGAAATGAGGAGGCAAAAGAGCTCAACAGAGGAGAGCTCTGGTGGCCTAGTGGCAAGGAGCTGCAACTACAATCCCAGAGGCGCACGGTTCGAACCCACCAGATGCTCTGCCGGGGAAGGAGGGACAATCTCTTCCTGTACCAGTCAGATCTGATTTGACGGTACACGCACGCGTGCGCGCGCGCGCGCGCGCACACACACACACACACACACAAA